GAAGTTAATTCTTTAGTCCCAATTTCTAACTTTGTTCTGACAATCAAAGAATGTATCAACCGAGTATGTTGTGATGAAAAACAACAACAAAGACAAATTGTAATACTAGTTTGAGAGGTACCGCAAAATTCTTGGTAATAACCAAAAAGACCTTCCCAAAAGATATTCTGAGATTTCAGGATTTTGTCAAATTTAGGGAAGTGACACAGTCTGATAAAATTTCACTTGTCTTTTGTAATAAAATGAAAATAATAATAAATAGTGTATTGAGCCAGAGTGTTTAGGATAAAAAGCAACAATGATAGAATAAAACTAATACTAAAATAAAAATAATAATGAAAAGTGTATTGACCCAGTGTGTTTTGGAAAAAAAGAAACAATACTAAGATGGAATAAAACTAGTAATAAAATAATAGTAATAATGAAGAGTGTATAGAGCCAGAGTGTTGGGATAAAAACAACAATAAGATGGAATAAAACTAGTAATAAAATAATAGTCATATTGAAAAGTGTATTGACCCTGAGTGTTGGAATAAAAAGCAACAATAATAAAATGGAATAAAACTAATACTAATATAATAGTAATAATGAAAAGTGTATTGACCCAGAGTGTTAGGATAAAAAGCAACAATATTAAGATAGAATAAAACTAGTAATAAAATAATATTAATAATGAAAAATGTATTGACCCAGAGTGTTAGGATAAAACGCAGCAATAATAAAATAGAATAAAAATAGTTAAAAAATAAGAATGAAAATGCTTCATCTAAAAGTTTCCAAAAAATAGCATTATTTCATTTTGCTGAATGCAGACATCTTTAAATGCTTCGTTTTCCATAAATGCAAACAGTGATATTCATTTTCTCATTCTTTGCAGTCGACATGAAAGTTTTTTTTTTTTCCTTTTATTTATTTGTCTATCTTTGAGCACATCTCCCATTTTATTCGCTTGCACACACTCACTCATTTCATAAGCTATACTGACTTCTTTGGGGCTAACATATTTCTGATGGACCTTATCTTCACATATCCGAGTCATGGTTGTTGCGAAAGCATCCTGAGATATTGTTAATCTGGACTATTCCATAATGGATAAAAGATTATTTTGCGCACTTGGGAAATGTTATCAGGAACACAAAGAATTCATCAATATCTACAACTTGAACAACTTTAGAAGTTTTCAAAATGTATTGGGAGTGGGTGGGAAGAAAAATACGCCTTTTCGTTTATTATTCTTTTGTGCTTTTCTTATCTATTTTATATATATATGCATGACACACATACACACACACACATATATATAGATATTAGATGTAATGAGAAGATTTATCATTTTCATTCATCTTAGCCTTCATCTATCTTATATGTAGAAAGTAATGATGAAAGAAATTAGGATTAAAAAATATACGAACATATATATAGAATCTCTTTTATATCAATCTTTCAATCTAGCTTTATATATATATATAGTAGTGTCCTTTTCTTTAACTCTTCATGTTCTATTTATCTTCTCAAATGTAGATAAACATGTAATATATATATATATATATGCAAGCGTCATTAAATATGACAGACAAGCTGCTTTGATTAAGTTTTTTATATAATTTCTCAGATGATCTTATAATTTGTTTTCTTTTCACTAGATAAATTATGCAAAAACTGTCCAAATATTATATTTTTCCAAGAGCTTTCGGCTATACATTTAGCCATTGTGTGTATGTATTGCAGAAAGCACTCGGAAAAATACCACGTTTGCATAATTTAATCTCTTAGACCAGTTGCCATCCAAGGCTATAGAACCCAATCTGTACTGCTAGAGAGAGAAAGAAGAGGATTCATACCTTTCCCAATGGTATTAGCACGAAAGTGAATGTAATGGATTTGCCTGGAATTCGAACTCGGCTCTCCGATTCCTCAATCCAAGTCGCTATCCATCACTCCACCGTGCCTCCTCATATATATAGGCTGGTTCTGAAGGTGTATCGAACTGTGGGGTGAGTACGTAGAATAGCCTGACTTTAGATAATTTTTTCTTTGTCATCCCCAAAATTTTTCATCGCCCAGTTTTGTATGTGAATAATTACATGGCATCTTTTTCAGTGTTTTTCCCCTCTAAATTCTCTGTCTGCCTTCATTCTATAAGTGAAACTATAAACGATGCTGACAAACAATATTGTTCCGTCCCTCCAAGTTAAAACCACACCCTCGTCTCCATTTGACCTCTCCTATTTCTCTTCTTCTTGAACCAAACAGTAATAATTTAAATTGACAGTTTTCTTTTATAATTTTCATTTGTTGCATTTCTCTTGTAAATATAGCCTTACCATACGCCCCACTTTGCTTAGGACTGTCCCGGAGTGTGCGTGTGGATGTGTGTATCTGAAACTTAACAGGAGTTAGGTCATCAAAACACTTTACTATGCAAAAACTAAACCTATTATAAAACTTGAAAACCATCTCGGCTTGAGACTTGTAAATTACGGTATGCCTATGTGAATAACAAAGCTGGTTTGTTTCAGACAAAAAAAAACAATTGGCTTTCATCTTAGAATTAAAAAAAAAAAAACTCAGGACTGAATTGTATGATACAAAAATACAATCTATTCAAATAAATTTTTACTCTCCTACCAATATATATTTTTTTATCGTTTCATCCCACGCAAGGTGGGAATGCCATTAGTACACAAGGGGTTATGTGGAATGAAAGTGAGAGAAAAAAAACTGAGCATAGAGAGAATTTAAGAAAGGGTAAAAGAAGAATGAGGTTCAAGAAGACAGAAGATATTGCATTTGAATTTTTGAAGATTGTAGTTATCAGAGAAGCAAGGATACGGGAGGGAGTTCCACAGGTGGGAAGTGCGAAAAGAGAAACTGTTGGAGTTTCACACACACACACACACACACACACACATATACAGATATATATATATATATATATATATATATATATATATATATATTAAGATATTTTTTATGTTTACACGTTTTTTTTATAGATACAAATATTTGAGTAAATGCTCTGTTTATAATAAACAATATTAACAACATTTACCGGCCTTAATGTCCGAGAAATTTTCATAGAAAATATGCGTCCTCCGAGAGGAATCGAATCTGTATCCTATACGGAACCGTCATATAGCCTGACGTGCTTTTACCGATTGAGCTACAGAGGAGCGTTTCGGTTAGCAAGGTTGATTTTACTGTTTTTAAATCACAATTCTCCATGATTTTCTCTCATACATTCATATCTGCTCCATGCGTATCCAAATGTAAACAAATGACGTCACACATTATGAAATGGACAAAGTGCGACAATTATTTTAATACATTTTTTATGTTTATACGTTCTTTTTAATAATTGTTGAACTTTATCCATTTCATAATGTGTGACGTCATAGAATGGTTTGGTTTGGCTTGGTTCGGTTTGTTTTACGGCATATCAACCTCATTGGGTCATTTAATGCCGACAGCTTTCTGGTAATATTTTTGTTTTGTCAAAAATCTATTTCTGGTAATATTATTTTCCTCAAAAATGTATAGCTGATAATATTATTTTAAATATGTATTCCTGGTAATATCTTTTTTTCAAAAATGTATTGCTGGTAATACTTTTTTTTGTTCAAAAATTTATTTCTGATAATAGTTTTTTACAAAGTATTTCTGATATTAAAACTTATTTTAGACTTTCATAATACTTTTTACTTCAGTTTCGGGGTTAATTATTTGCCCATAGCTGGGACCCTAACAGGTGCCACCACTCCAGGTTGGTGTGGACCTGGGAACAGCAGCAATTAAAGAAATGGTTCATCGCTCCTCAAAACCTCCTGATCAGAGGCCTTGCTGCTGGACGTAGTTTATCATCTTACCCTGGACGGAGATGTAGTTTATCGTCATACCCAGGACGCCATAAAATGGAAGTGAACAATTTATTCATCACCTCAAACATGGCCACTCACACAATTTGATGAAACAACACTTGAAAACGGTTGAGACATCCTACTTATTTCCCCTGACGACGATAGACAACTGAAACTCTTTACCTAGAGATGTTGTGGGTACAGAACCGCTGGCTAATTTCAAGAAGAAACCAAGGATCCTGTTCAAATGAGCTGGTGGACTATTGACTAATTCTAATTAAAAAATAACTAAACTGCATATAAAAGTTTAATGTTTATATAATTGTTAGTATTTTTAAAACTACATAGATATATTTAGCATCAGTTATTAGAGAAATTGTTATAATGCTTCTCACTACATAAGTGTGATAGCAAAATATCCTGAAAGAGTAATGTAGAGACTTTTATCCTCACTGAGCGCCCCACTCTTTACTAGATTAAATTTATGAGTAAATACAAATATTGATTACATTTTATTTTCATTCAGTTACAAATCAGATATTTCTTAGTTTATCCATTTTCCCCCATAAATTTTACAACTAATTCAAATTTTTACCTAACTAAATAGCAAAACTGTCATTAAAAAATAATATGCAAAAGCTTTCACTAGTTTTGAAGTGAGGCTGAGATAGTGTTTTTATCTCAGAGTGAGGCTGAAATATTCGTCATATATTTATTTCTATTTATATCTTTATTTTATATCTGTTTCTGTAACGAGTGATAACATAGATAAGATTTATTTTTTAAATTTGCATCAAATCATTCTGTTTATGGTTACAAGGATATAAAATGAATTAAATCACTGTTGTATATCTATTCCAAATGCATTTGGAGCAAATAGACAAGATTTCACCTTTACTTATCCTTATCTATTGGTTTTGTTACTTCTTCATATTCTTTTTTTTTTTCTTAACTTGTCAATATTTTCAATTTCTTTTTTGATTCTTCTTTATGTTCAACTGTTTTGTAATTTCCAATGTTGGCTTTCCATCATTTGCTATATCGCTTTCTCTTTTGAGTTTATATCTTTTTTACCGTATCGAGAAAAATGTTCGAATAATTATCATTTGTGTTTTCCCCTTTAAATTTTTATATTTTTATTAGAATAAAGAATTTTGTATTTCGAATAATTATCATTTCTTCCCTTCCTTTCCTTCCTCCCTTCGTTCCTTCCTTTCCTTACCTTTCCTTCCTTCCTTCCTTTTCTTCCCTCCTTTCCTTCTTTCCCTTCCTTCTCTTCCTTTCTTCCCCCCTCTTTCCTTCCCTCCCCTCCTTTCTTTCTTTCCTCTCTTCCTTCTCTTCCTTCCTTCCTTCCTTCCTTCCTTCCTTCCTTCCTTACCTTTCTTCCCCTTCTTTTTTTTTTTTCCTCCCTTCCTTCTCTTCCTTTCCTTCCTTCCTTTTCTTCCCTCCCTTCTTTCCTTCTTTCACTTCCTTTCTTCTCTTCATTCCATTCCTTCCTTCCTTCCTTCCTTCCTTCCTTCCTTCCTTCTCTTCATTCCTTCCCTTCCTTCCTTCACCCCGTCTTTCTTTCCTTCCTTCCTTCCTTTCCTTCCATTCCTTTCTTCCCTCCCCTTCGTTCCTTCGTTCCTTCCTTTCCTTTCTTTTCCTTCCTTCCTTTCCTTTCTTTTCCTTCCTTCCTTTCCTTTCTTCCTTTTCTTCCCTCCCTTTTTCCTTCTTTCACTTCCCTCCCTCTCCTTCCTTCTCTTCCTTCCTTCCTTTCCTTCCTTCCCTCCCTCCCTTCTTTCCTTCCTTCCTTCCTTCCTTCCTTTCCTTCTCTTTCTTTCTTCCCTCCCCTTCTTTCCTTCCCTACCCTTCTTTCTTTCTTTCTTTCTTTCTTTCTTTCTTTTTTTTTCTTTCTTTTCTTTCTTTCTTTCTTTCCTCCTTTCCTTCTCTTCCTTTCCTTCCTTCCTTTTCTTCCCCTCCCTTCTTTCCTTCACTTCCTTTTTCTCTTCATTCCTTCCTTTCCTTCCCTCCCTCTGTTCTTTCCTTCCTTTTCTTCCTTCCTTCCCTTCTTTCCTTCCTTCCCTTCCTTCTTTCCTTCCTTCTCTTCCTTTCCTTCCCTCCCTGCCTTTTTCCCTTCCTTCCTTCCTTCCTTTCATCCCTTCCTCCCTTACTTCCTTTCCTTTGCTCCCGTCCTCTCTTCTTTTCCTTCCTTTCCTTCCTTCCCTCCCTTTTTTCCTTCCTTCTTTCCCTTTTCTTCCTTCCTTTCCTTCCGTCCCTCCCTCCTTCCCTTCTTTCCTTTCCTTCCTTCTTTTCTAAATTCTGAACAGAACCCAAGAAGCAGTCAGTGAAAGGCAAATAAACTTATTTGAGCAATCAATGGTCATCTTTGGCATGGACATCAATAGTGGCAGTTGCATTGCTTTAATAATCACTTATGACCATCAGCTGAAATTTTCAAAGATCAGACATCAATAGAAATAATGAGCAATGCGTGTAATCTTATATGATGTTTCCGATTATAGCCACACCAAATGATCTTTAATGATAAACGATAAAAGCCTAGAAGAATCAAGGCAAAATAAAAAGTTCTTACCAATGATTCCACACTGGCAACAATATTAGAATTATTACAAAAAGCAATTATCATGTTCTTTCAGTGATTTCTTTTAATATTTATTTTATTTATATATTTATACATCTAATAATCTTTATCCTACTCATTGGTCATATAATCTATGATATCACTGGTAGGACTAAAATATGAAAAAGACTTTCATTTCCTCCAATAATTATTGTAAAGTAAGATGCAGCAAAATGTAATAGTGCTTTATTTTAGAAATGCAATTCATAGATTTTATTAGAGAAATTCATTGCAGATTTTATTTATTTACAATGATATTCACTCTGTACAATGCCGACGAGCAATTTGTTACATAAGGAAATGGCTTTAGAAGAAACCAGAAACACAATCCTAAACAGGAAACAAAACATAAACCTCTACACCTGCCCAAAAGACTGGAGAGAAGCGCGAACTGGATGATAGGTAAACCTATCTACGCCTATTTAGAAGTGGGGAAAAAAAGATTCAATAATAAATAAAAGTTCATAGTTTTAGGTGAAGACGTTAAAAGTATGTAGTTGAAGTCGATTTTAGAAAGAACCGGAAGCCCAACCCTAAACAGGAAATTAATTTGATGTTGGTACAACTTTGTCTGACAACTGATCATCTGGTACCTCTTATAAGTCAAGCAAAATTACAAACAAATCTTTGAATTTCCCGTGATTACCAAATTCCAGAAACGGCTACCAGGTGGCGTTGTATTTAATAATTGTTTAATATAAGTTTGCAAAATCATAGCTTACAACCACATCATGTTGAAACACTAGTTCCCATGGGATCACTGAAGTTAAGCAACATCAAGCCTGGTTAGTACTTACATGGGTTACAGCTTAGGAATACCAGGTGCTCTAAGCTTGGTTGTGCAAGTGGTGTAATGGATAATGGTTCAAAATTGTTAATTGGAGAACCGAGTTCCAATTCCTGTTGGGTTCATTATATTCAATTACGCACAAATACCTTTGGGAATGGTATGAATCCGCTTCTTCTTCCCCAGCTATGGGTTAATTAGTAAGACACTAAATCATTATTATTAACAAATAATGATGTTGTGGAGATATGAGAGACGCATAATTAATATGCCAGGGGCGTATTATTGCATTGTTATTTTGTGACTTATGTTGGTACAGCGAAATTAACCACCTGGTACGATTCTGAAACCAAGAGTACCAAACAATTGGTGGTCTACCTGTACGAGTTTACATATGACGTCATTTTTTCACGGCATATTTTATTAAGTCCTTAGAATTATTAAATGTCTTTCACATGTTAGTCTTTAAATATATTTTTTCATAAATGCTTTCGAACAGAATATCATTGTCATAACAAAGACACTAAAAAGGTAGTGATATAAAGTTATAAATATACTTGGTCTATTATGTATAGAGACTAGCATAGTACCCGTCAAAAATGATGGGATTGTTTACATATGGATCGGTACTTCTGTGTAGGATCAACATGTCATTTACCAACCCTCTACATGTGGCCGAGTGGTTAGAACTTTCGCATTCTGACCATGAGGTCCTGGTTCGAATCTCACCAGGATCGATTTGTCAGGAAGGAGACTTCCTGATGTTATCGGACTGAAGGGGTCGATCCCAGAATGCGACACCTTTGGAAAGTGCCTGAAAACCTTACCACGGGTTGACCCCAGCCTTGTGAGTGAAATTGGGTAGACAGAACCCTTGGATGTCGTCGATAGCCGTGCTAGCACGAAGTCACAAGTCATCGTGGCCGAAGACTTGAGTGTGCTAGCCTTGTTCAAATTATTGATCACGCTAGATAACCCGCTCTGTAGCTGTAACTAAGGTCTGCTCAGCATAGTTGCAGTATAGTGTTGAATAAACACAAATGCGCCTGAGCAACCGTCTGCAATAGGGATTGGCTAGCCGCCCTAATAGACGGGTATCCTCGAATACGAGTGGCCAGGTATACATACATAGGATAAGAATGTAGTGATAATGCAATGATTTCTATACTTGCAAGTTATCCTATTGCCCATGGATCTCTTAATGATTTTATTAGAATGAGAAGCCTCTATGACATGCGATAAAAATAAATAAGGATAAATTTTTCAACAATACTAGAATATTCAAAGAGTTATTCAGACAATTAAACTCACTGTGTTACTTATATTGTTAACACACTGTTTCGGCCAGTCCATTTTCTTCAGAGTCTGATAGCAAACAGAAAAGAAATGGTTGGTAACATACCAGTTCAGCTTATTCCCAGAATGCAATATATACGGACAATTCTATTTTTAACAACTCTTGTGAAACAGTTGATTCTATTTTTTCTTGTTCATTCAATAGAAGGCTCAAGAGCCACTTACGGTAGAGGATTACTGAATGAGGAGTGTGATATGAAGTAAATAGTAGGAAGTGAACATTATGAGGTTATGGAGGATATATAATGATTGACCCTAGACTTGAACAGGTTATTATTGTATTGCTTGTGGAAGCATCCTCTTGGGAGTTTGTTTCACAAAGCAGCAGTTCAAGAGAAAAAGCTATCTGAGCAGAACTTCCTCCTTACCAATGGAATATGAAGAGAATGAAGATGGCCCAAATCTGTGGATGTAGCATGGTGGGTTTTAGTTGTAAAAGTCTGAACTGATGGAACTAGAGAATGGAGCTCATCCAAACATTTGCCATGGAAATAGCAAATGACTAATTCTTTCAATTCTGAGCAGAGGAATGTACTTCGGCTTCTTCTTTTTCGTCTTCTTCTTTTGTGCCGTGTCCCTTCAGGTTGTTGACGATCGTGGCTCTCCATAATTTCCTATCTTTTATAGCTCTTGATAACTTTTGTCTTTTTTCCATCTCTCCCAAACGCTATTCTGTCATTCATTTACTCAAGCTTCTTCTTCTTCTTCTTCTTTGTGCCGTGTCCCTTCAGGACGTTGACGATCGTGGCTCTACATAATTTCCTGTCCTTTGTAACTCTTAATAACATTTGTCTTTTTTCCATATCTCCCAAACCCTGTTCAACCATAGATTCACACAATCTCGCCAGGCAGATTATGCATTGCTTTCCTCTGTCTCTCTTACCATCACTCTGCCCTGTGAGTATCAATTTTTTCAAGCCTTCTTTCCTTAATATGTGCCCCAGAAATTTCAACTGTCTCTTCCTAATGTTAAGTATAAGTGGTCCTTTTTGTTGCTATTGTCTCTATGACTGTATCGTTGCTCACATGGTCGGTCCATAGTATTCACAGCATCCTTCTGTAGAACTACATTTCTGTTACTGCAAGTCTCTTCTTCATCTGTGAAGAGATTGTTCAGGATTCGCTGCCATATAGGATAAATGTTCAGTACTTACGTTGGCCTGACTTACGTTGTAATATGTGATACTCCCCTTAATTCTCTTTCTTTTTTTTTTCTTTTTTTCTTTATATGGGCCTTTTTCTCTCCAAATATAATCACCCTCCCTGTTTGGATTTTGATTTCTTGTGTTCCTCAAGACTGGCTTTCAATGGACAGATGTTTCCCACCCCCACTTTTAAATTATACGCAATGATATTAAAAGAGTCTTGTTATAATGAGGACTAACAGTGGGAGCGTTCACACAACCGTCTTTTGCATAACACAACTTGAAAGAGGCAAAGGTCATAGTTGTTGAATAAAGTTTTCTTAGAGGATATAACGGGGAGTGGAGAATAAAGGTAGGAAAATTGTGTTTCGCCTGATTTTTGGGGGTCTTTTTTTTTTTAATCCCATGACCCTTTAGCGTCGTAGGGACACCATGTGTATTGTAGCCACAGTAGAAGTGGTGTTTCTTGAGCAAGATAGCCTGACAGAGCCTAGCCCTCTCCAGGCCAGTTTGGGATTCAGAGTTACAATCTCCTAGACCGGTTGCAACCCAGAGCTATAGAACCCAGCCTGCCCTGCTATTTACCCATTTCTGGGGGTGGGGGAGAAGAAGAGGATTCATACCTTTCCCAAGGGTATTAGCACGTAAGTGAATGTAATGGATCCGACTGGAATTCGAACTCGGCTCTCTTCGCCTGTTTTACTGCCTTGAAAATCAGCATTCGAAATCGTCTAAGTTCGAGCACCGGCTACTAAGAAATACACAACTATTGCACCGATTGCATTAAAATCATAGATCCATTGTGGGAAAGAAAAAAAAACTTCTGATATACAAAGCCTGCTTTAATATGACCCTCGGCTAAATGGCGATAGGATGTTGTTACGCCAATATCCAAATGGAAAGGTTTAAACTGATGCAACTAAAATGGATGTTTATCTAAATATTTTCCGTGGAAATAGCGATACTGTCGGCTTGCGATGTTGCATCTGTGGGTAGAAAATGCCCAATTCTTTCAACATTTCTAGGGCAGAGGAATATACTTCTTCTATGTACCGTGACTTTTCAGCACGTTAGCGGTCATGGCTCTCTACAATTTCCTGTCCTTTGTAGCTCAAAATAACTTTTTCCTGGTCTCTCAGTAGTAGAAATACTAGCTTTTCCTTAAGTGTCAATATTTCTCACAGTGATAAAAGTGTAACTATTTCGTCCAATGGATAAATTATTTAAACTGAATGGTTTTGTTTTTTTTTTCTGTTTGTTTCAGCTGGCCGTATCTGGTGCCGATTAACTGTGGACTTGACCCCCGAATCTGCTTTGGCGGCCTCCTTCACATTCCTTTCTGATCAGTGTCAGTCTCCCAAGGCAGTTAGTGCCAGTGAAAAGGACAAAAGCCCTACGGTCGGAACTGGTGGTATGCCCACATCGAATGCTGCAGCAACACCAATCAAAAGGGAAGAGACAGACACTTCAAAACATGCCATTAGCTTACCTGGTGCCAACACAGAGATACCTGTCTTCTCAGGTAAGTTTCTAACCGAATTTGAAAAGAAATTTAACTCTCTCGCTTTTTTTCTCTTTCTCTTTGTTTTCTTTTGCTTCTGATAAAATTTTCAGACTTTTCGGCCATCTTGTGTGCTAGTAACATTCATATTTGTGCACCATCTGTATCTGAGCTTCGATGGTGATTTTTACACATGCTGTAAAAATTTTCGGGATAGTAAAAACAGTTCAGTGCCACCGAGACTCATATATGGCCTTTTACTCAATTAGGCACTTTTCAGAGTGGGGTCGGCTTCAAGAGACGAGAGAATTAATATGCGCGTTTTTTGATTTTATCATTTCACCCTAAGACAGGTTTGGTTTGGTTTGGTTTGGTTTGGTTTACGGCATATCAACCTCAATGGGTTATTTAATGCTGACAAAAGTTTTTAGGATAGATTCGTATGAATACATTATGTATTCTTTGGTTTAGATTGGTTTGGTTTATTTCGTTTTACGGCATATCAACCTCAATGGGTTATTTAATGCTGACAAAAGTTTTTATTGCTTGTAATATTTTGTTTTGTCAAAAATCTGTTTCTGGTAATATTTTTTCCTTCAAAATTGTATTGCTGTTAATAATTAACTATTTGCTCATAGTTTGGACCCTAACAGGTGCTACCACCCCGGGTCAGGGTGGACCTGGGAACACCAGCAATTAAGAGGTGGTTCCACACTCCTCAAAACCTCCTGATCAGAGGCCTTGCTGCTGGATGTAGTTTAACGTCTTACCCAGGACGGCCCAAAACAGGTGATAACGCCACTAAGACTTAAGAAGTGAAAAAGAATAAAACAACTTCAGTGACGAGAAAGGACATTAAAAGAACAGGAAGAGAGAAGATGGCGATTGCCGTTGCATTTAAAATTTTTGACGCTTATAGGTAACAGGGAAACAGGAAATCGGGAGTTCTAAAGGCGTGAATTGCAAAAAATGAAACTGTTAGAATAGAAGACACGGTTGCATCTAGCTAGTTCAACAGAAAAACGGTGAGACCTAATTGCCAATCTAGTATCATGCTTAAATTCATGCAGTCTAGGCACCAAGTAGGAAAGCTCATCAGAACAACTGTCATGAAAATATTTGTGGAAAAGACAGAGGGTAACCACGTCCAAGTCGGTGAGAAAGTGCCTGGCGTCAAGATGCCAGTTCAGGATTAATTGCATCACAGACCCTTCTTTGCCGTGATCAGTCG